AACTAAGGAGAATTTTCCTGACAGAACAATTAATCAGTGGAACGACTCGCCTCCAGAAGTTGTGAGTGCTCCAACAATGGAGGTTTTAAAGAAGAGATTGGACAACATTTGTCTGAAATGGTATAGGGTTTCCTGCTTGACAGGAGGTTGGACTAGAAGACCTTCAAGATCCGTTCCAGCACTGTTATTCTAATCTACTCATGAGGTGACTAGAGCATGAGTGACAGTCTAAAGGGTTTGCCAATCAAGGAACGTAGTGATATCATAAAGAAACATTGGATTCTAAAGTAATACTGATTTCATAACCAAAACAATGTGCTCACAATATAATCACCTATCACAAATCTCAAAAGCTTTTCCAAAAGGCTGATTCTTGAGTCACATTGGGCTCTAAACTATAATACAGTTTGATAAATTTTGAACTGGGATGTTATGTGTACCAAACTATTGTAGATTGCAAATCATCATTTATAGATAGTGCACTACATGACCTCACCCATGTATATAAATCATGATTCCAAGAACATATTCAGTTTGGCTAAAGAACAAAAATAGGTCAGATGATCCAGACATGCAATTTCAGAATTGAAAGACTTTATTTATGCCCCTCATTGCAATGGGCTACAATCCCCTTCAGTTAGCTAACAACCAAGACATCCAGTGAATGGGTATATACCACTATCTGGACAATTGATCTCACTGTCAAATCCCCTTTAGTATTCAGATTTTTTTTCTGTAGCATTAAATTAGAATCTGACTTCCTATAAATTATTCCATGTTCAATATTTTAGAAAGGTAAATAACAAGAACAAGACCTTCTGTATGTAGCATCTTTCCTCATACAATATTATCATAATTAACTTGTTTTACCCAGCTAGTTTTTTGGAGAAAAATTGCTGGAAAGAAAAAACAGCTGAAAAAGGAGGCCACCCTGAACTCACTACCAAGGAACTGGCAGGATATAACATAACTTCCAAATTGTGATTGTTCAACATATCCAAGACATGGCTGTTTTTTGTCTTCCTGGCTAAAATGTAGCATTGAAATTAAGTTGCACCAATACTTATTAATGTAAGGGTTCATCAGATACCAGACATTTGTTGGGGAAGATGGACGGGTTCTTTATAATCCCAAAGTGGCAAATTTTGACTAGATAGTGTGGCTGTATGCTGACAGAACCATGAATAAGGACATTTGATGGGCTTAGTAGTTGATTATATTAAATATATTGTTGGAACAGGCTTTGTGAAGTGTAAACCCAACCTTTTTCTTATCTGATTTTCATATTCTAAACCTTTTGCTTCCTCTTTGTTGATAATTCATCCCATCTCTAGTATTTTATTTCTCAACCCATTCTTTCCATATGGACCATTAAGGATATTTTATTTTTCATTCAGGGGTATGTGTGTGTGTATCATTTCCTTCTGTCATCAGCAGGTGTTTTTTTTTAATTTCGTTCCTTGTATTCAGTTTCTTTCTCACTCTCAAGAGGGGTGAGAAATCTTGATCCTCAGATACTCCTTGGTCACAGTTTCATCCACCTTTAACCAACATGTTCTTTTATAGTTCTTTTCATCTCACGCTCAGACCTTCCATTATTTATGAATAAATGTATGATTTATTCTTTTGCTATATTCCTCCATGGCCAACAAAAATAGCAGATCAAAACCCTAGAAACAAAAATAGATACTTCTTGATATCTCTTTTGTTATCTCTTCTGACTAATTCCTTTGGGTCATTCAAAACTCCATGTTCTGTGACATTTATTTTCTTGCCAGAGAAAATGACAAGAGGAGTAGTTTGGGCTCCAACCAAGAAGTAAGATCCTTGTCCTTTCACTTCATTATATAAATATATGTATTTTAACAAGATACTGAGTTTACCTACTACTAGTTCAATACAATAGAACCTCTGGTCACGACCATAATTTGTTCCATAACTTTTGTCGCAAACAGATTTGGTCGTGACCTGAACCTAATATTGGAAATTTGGTGCTTATAAAAAATGGCATGGAAGGGGAAATCGGCCACGAAAAAATATATAGTACATTTTTGAACAGAACCCGATTTGGTCGTGGTAAGAAGCGTTCGTGACCAGAGGTTCTTCTGTACCTCCTTTGCCTCAAAGTTTTTATGATTCTTTCAGTAAACTTAGCATGATTCTAAAGTTAATATAATTTTACATTTATAATATTATCACACATATATTTAATGGAAGGTTAGATCTTTTTTTTTATCTAGTAGTAATGTTACAAAGCTCAGCAATTGGAGAAACAATTATTTAAGGATGAAACAAAGATTCAGTTTCTGCCAGTTGTTTTTCTCATCAAAATTTATATTCTTACGAAATATACTGAATTGATTTTATATGTAACTACTGCTAAATTAGCCTGCCTTCCACTAGAAATTATATGCCAGCTCAGGAACATTAAATTTATGGAGTATATTTTACTGTCAAAAATAATTTCGTATTTTCAAGCCTGGTGTTAATTTTAACTTGGAAGCTCTTTATGAAGTTTATAAAATTTATAATTCTGCAGATAAACTTCTTCTACATCCAAAGTTTTGGATTCTTCAACATTTTTAAGCACTAGATTTTGTCTGATTGAAATGCAAAAATGAACTACTTCAGATTAATTGGAAATTATGAAGTCTTATTTTTTTATTATTTCAATTGTTTTTGTCAATCTCTGATTATATTCGAATATTAGTTCTTAGAATTCTAAGCTGATGTATGACTATCTGTTGGAATCTAACAGTGGAATGTTTCAATTTTAATATTTTGCAAATACTTCATAGAATTTTTATTGTAAATTTTAAAATGTATTCTCTTTTCCCCCTCCTCTTTGTCTCCTTTTTCTATTTTCACTCTTCAAGTATCTTTAAAAATAAACAAAAATGGATGCCGATATCTATGTTTCATGAAAAAGAATTCCTTTCAATGTCTCTAAGCCTCTAAGTAGGACTGGCGGATTGCATTTTAACATGGCCATCTGGCAGTGCCTTCAGGAGTTGTAAGCACACTGTCCACCGCTAATATATAGTTCCACAAAGCCACAAAAACACTAACATTTATTGTGAATATATAAATAAATAGATGACAAACAAAGCTAAATATCCAAAGTGCTTTTCAGATGTACATATAAAAAGATCAAAGAGAAAAGATCAAATGTTGATACTCTTCCATGCAGAATAAGTACAAAATATTTTTCTTTGACATCTTATAAAATAACATTTTCTTTCTGCATTTTATGGCTTTTTTATCTATAAATACAGGTTTGTGTTCAATTATGCATAGTGTCATATAACATAAATTGGATTCATTGCAAATTCCCTTCCCCCACCCCCGACAGAGTTTTGTAGTAAGAAACAGAGGGTCATACTTTATGCTGAAAACATGGGTAAAAAGGATTAATGTCCTTATTTTTAAAACATAATATGTAATGAAATTGTATATTTCATTATGGGGATAAAAGAAATCTATGTTTTTGCAAGACTTCGGCAATTAGACATTCTAATGTAAACACCAACATCGCTAATACAAAATCCTCTAAAACAAGGTGAGCAACCTGCAAACATGTATATGTTGTTGTACTTCCATTCTCATACCCCTTGGTGAATAAAGCTGCTGGGCTTGGAATTCAAAGGCCACAAACTGGCAAATAACTGAGTTCCAATCTACACACATAATTCCATGCAATAAAATGTAGCTCTATTGTGTTAGGGATCAGGAACTGATACCGTATTTTTGCCATGAAAATAAATTTGGTTTTGTGTTTTGTTACAGACTGATATTGTCCTGTCATTTGTTTAAAGGTGAGCACAGTGTTCTTTGATTTTCAAAGAAAAATGTGAGCATTTAACTTAATTATAGCTCTATGTTATTCCATAAAGCTTTCAAGGGGGTCAGGGGGACTCTGATCAGCATTAAATCAGAACAGTATCATCAACTTACAAGCTTCAGTGCAGATCTGTCAAGCAAAATAGGTTCTTGTTTGCTACTGGCAGATTTTCATCAAGGTTCTTCATTTCCCTGGTTCTGTGTATCACGTATATTGTTCAGTACATGTGAAACATCTAAGTGCACTAATGAATATTGCTTTTACAATACAGTAGAAATAGGCAGACGTAAGGTTTATAGGAATTATTTTACATTTTATAAGAAACCTGAGTTTCTCCAACTGGAGTCTAGTGCAAAAGGATACTTGAAATTAAAGGATATTTATTATTAATAAATATGTTCACACAGAGGTCTGTTTTTTTAATCCAATATATACTAGCGCTTTAATGGAGAAGGAAGGAAAAGTAGCTAGTGCTACTGTTAAAACCAGCTGAAGCCAGAAATTCCCCTAAGCCTGCTGCAAATAACTATCAGAATGGAGACATCTGAGTTTCCATACTGGTGGAAAATTCTAGGAATTGTGTTTCCAATGTATCGGGGGGGGGGGTGTACCAGATAATCTCACAAAAGCATTTCTCATTATTATTTGCTTTATCACATAAGTACTCCAATTTATCCTTCATTATTAAATATCTATACACAGGTAAGGAGAATTATCATCTCTGGGGGGAAAATTCAGATCTTTTTATAATTTTCTACATTGGTTTAATTTAGCAGAAATCTATTGCATATTGTTTTTTTAATAATTCTATTTACTTGATTGAGTAAGATTTATTGAATGATTATTTATTTGCCTCTCTACCAAAAATGCTAATTTTTAGACTTTTGGTGAAAGGTGACTTAGTGAGACATATGAAGAAAAAAATATCCAGTTACAGCAAATTATCTTCTTTACAAATACACAACTTTCACGTTGTAAAAATAAATTATATCTTGGATATATCCCATCTCAGAAAGTTCCCTTTGCACGTAAAATGAATGAGTCACTTGGAAAGGATAATAAATAAGCATAGAGCAATAATACTCATATTTTGTCAGAGCATTGAAGAAGCCAACTTAAGTGTTTGTTTAACAGTGTGTTGTGTGGCCCTTCCTTGTCCTTAGTGTTCAGTGTCTTTCATTTTGGTTTGTGGGCCTCCACCAAAATTCAGATTGCTACTCTTCTTTTCCTGCTTTGCCGTACTAGAGAGATCAATTGCAGTATCTTCCAAACTGTCCATTGAGATTAATTTATTAGTGGGGTTTCGTTCATATTCTGTCTGTTTAATTTTGAATTCCTCCTCAGGATGTTCAGATTTCCAGATGCCATTTCCTTTTTCCTCATTTTCAGGCTTTCTTGTAATATTTATTGATTTTTTATGCATGCCTAAAAGAAATAAAAATCCAGTTTTATTATACAACCGTCCTGTTCCCAATAGATCCATGCAATGAGGCAGTAGCTCCATCCCTGGGCTATCTTATTGTAGTACTGAGAAACAAGGAAAGGAAAATGCCATTTTCTTCCCTTTTTTTCAGACCCATAAATGGATTGGCACCAACCACACTAGAAGAGACATACAATTAATGCAACAGCCTCTGTTTCATATGAACAATTCTAGTTTAGGGTGAAAACTAAAATATCAGTTTTCTGGAGGGGAGATCTTCTGGCTATGAATAACAGTTTAAGCTATGATAAAGAGGGAGCTCTCTCTCTCTCTCTCGCTCCCTCTCCCCCTCCCCCTCTCTCTCCCAAACCACCTCACAGGGTAGTTGTTGTGGGGGGGAAAGGAGGAGGAAAGAGTATTATGTATGCTTGCCATCTTGAGTTACTTATAAAAGTAAAACAAGTGGAATAAAAAAATCTAATGTATACATACATATGTAGTTCTGTATCTCACTTTACATTTCTGTGAAATTATGAAGATCCGTTAACTTTTCTCAAACCTAAATACTGCAGATGAGATGAATGCTAAGAAATATCATATTCCACTACTCACACAAATTTAGTCTTCTTATAACAGAAAATGCTATGGGTAGTTATAGGCAGAAAACAAGAAGTTTAAAATATGTGTGAGTGTGTATGTCTGCATGTGTTTTGCACAGACATTTTCTGGTAAGTACATGGACAATGAATGATTCACACAGACAGATAGGTGCACACTTAACCACCATCGCTATACACATACAGGTAATCCTCAATTTACAACCACAGAAGCAACCAGAAAATTAATCATTGAGCACCTGATCACCTGTTTTTATAACCTTTTGCAGTATAGTTGCTAAGTGAATCACAGTCATTAAGCAAGACATCAGGTGACTGCAACTTGCAAACTTCTAAATCAACACGTTCACTTTACTTGTCAAAAGCCACCTGGGAAGCTGAAATGGTGATCAATCACATCACTGTGAGATGCTATGACTAATGTAAATACATGATGGTTGCCAAACATCCGAATCATGTGACCTCAGGGATACTGTGACAGTTGTAAGTTTAAGGACCAGTTATAAGTCACTTTTTTCAGTACTATCCCTGTTGCTAAACAAATGGTCATAAGTCAAAGACTACTTGTACAGACACAATATAGGATTCTTGTTAAGGGGAGACCAGCTACCCTCCATTAGTATTAGAAACCAGATATAATAACCTCTATAATAATGTTACCAAATGTGACATTTTGAAGAGTCATTCTATTACTAGCGATCATTTTAGCCCTTGAGTGAAAGAAGGAAAAGGATACTTTCAACAGGAAACAGTAGTACTTAGTCATTTTTCCACTTAGTAATTTTAACCAATTATACATTAACAACTCTATAGATGCACTTACCCAACAACCAAGGGGCACAGGAACCAACCATTCCACTTTTGGCAGAGTTGATAATTGATTCTGGAAGTGGGATGGAGTGCCTCACCATGGCACCGTAGAGACCATATTCAGCCATGACACTACTGCGGCCCCAACATTTCTCACGCTTCCGCCACTTGGCTCTTCGGTTCTGAAACCAAACCTTTCAAAAGTAGAACCAGAAGCACACATTTAACAACAATATGTGTTTGTTCATGTGCATGAGTGGGATTGGAATTATTGAAATTATTTGTAATTTAATTCAATACGATTGATGGAAAGCGCCCCCCCTCCCCACCCCATGCATTGAATACTTTCTCCATTTTGGTCAATTTTGCAGGTAGACGCTCAGTTTTGGAAGGTAGAGGGTACATCTCTGCTTTGTTCCAAACAATAAACAGCCATGTGTACATAGAGGAAGTTTGACATCTCTTTTCAAATCTTCAGATGAGAAAGTTGAAAAGAACAGCTATACTCTAGGATTTCATTATGATATCATATTAATATTTAAGGTGGGTTTTTTTTTAACCTTAACCAACTAATTTGGGGGAAATCAGTGGGCCCAAAATTATTATTTTTAATAAGAAAAAATCAATTCTAGATGGAATTTGCAATAGCAGCTACTATAGAGCAAGCCCTTGTCCTGGGATGTCTTCATGATACAGTCAAAAAAATCAAGATGGTAGTCAGGATGGTTCGTTCAAATCCTTAAATGTGTGAACGTGTCACGTATGTGTGATACACACATAAAAACAGAGCATTGATCACACGGTCACAGCTGCCATCTTGCTATTTTGAATGCACCTCATGGACACCCCGCCCTTCTCCCTTCTAAGTTTTCAAGCCTTGAAAATATTCAACCTTTTCTGTAAAACCATCTTGCAAACTTCAAACTTAGGTAGGTCTGGAAGGGTTTGGGCATTTGTCTATTGTAGCAAAGAAATCCAGTGGCTCTAAACACGAAACAACCTACCTGTATTCTGTCTTCAGGCAGTTCAGTTTTCATAGCTAACATTTCTCTGGAATATACATCAGGGTAATGAGCTTCATTAAAAGCCTTTTCCAGTTCTTCCAGCTGATGGGCAGTAAACACAGTTCTATGAGGACAAAAATAAATACTGTTCAGATTAGGTTGCCCATGCAGCTTCTTAAATGAGAAATATGCTCCGGTAAAACCAGATATATAACGTAAATATTGTATTTAATGTAATGGGCTCCTTAGTGCTCGTTGAGCTTGATTGTTTTCTTGCAGATGTTTCATTACCAAACAAAATAACAGCATCAGTATTATAGTAGTATTTTTTTTAAAGGGTGGAACTACTCTTCCCTAATCACCACTAACTGGAATTGACCACAGGGAAAGGTCATCATCAAGCACAACACTGTTCCACATACTCTTCTGTGTGTCCCTCGGTGTTGAGCGCCATGTGCTCCATTGAGCCAATCCAGAAGAATACCATGTTTGGTGATATCAAAAGCTGCAAAGGTCTAGTAGGCAAGAAGTGATGTAGAACCCACATCCCATCCACACCAGTTCATCCAAAAGCATGACCAATACTGTTTCAGTGTCATGCACACAAGTCTGAATGTTGATGGGAAAGGATCCAGATAATCTGGTTCACCCACGTCCTCTGAAACTGTTGCATAACCATCTTCTCAATCACCTTCCCCAAACAAGGGAAGTTAAATGCTGGACTAAAATTGTTCACTCTGGTGAGGTTAAGTGATGGCTTCCTGAGAAGGGGCAAACCAAATCTTCTTTAAGAGGTAAAAAAAGCCCTCGCTCAAAGAAGAGTCAACCACTGCTGGAACCTAGTCACACAACACCCCCCCCCAGGTTACTTTAAAAGCCAGTGAGGGCATGGATCTAAAGAACAGATGGCTAAGCACATAGCTTTAAGGACTTTGTCCACTTCCTCAAGTCCAACAGGTTCAAACTGTTCCCAGATAAAGGAAGATTCTCTCCAGGTATGAACCTATAACAAGGCTGGTGTCCAACTGTGAGCAAATCTTAGTGACTTTCTCCAGCTGACTCTGAATAAATTGCTCTGTATGTCCCTGCAAGAGGTCCCCTAAGCCTCCTTTACCCACAACAGTTTTTTCTACTCGAAAAGGGCTACAGGGCAGCTATCTGCAGATGCAAAAAGGGTGAAGTACTGATGCTTCACCACCCTTAATGCCACAAGTAGGACTTAATCATGGTTCTATACAGCTTCAGATGGATCATGCAGCAGATCAACAGGAACAAATCCCAGCTCCCTCTGAAACCCATCCAGGTCCATCAGTAATGCGGGACAGACCAATCTAATGTATCTCGCCTCCCTGAAGTGGCACTAGAAAATCACATGGAAATCAGGATGTGATATGACCATGAGAAAGACAAAGACAACACTAAAAGCTCCCTCAATTTCAGCTCACAAAGCCACTGCTCTGACAGGAACATTAGATCTGGTGTATGACCACTGTTCCATGTTGAGTACTAGATGATTTGGGATAAGCCCATGGTCATCTTGGGGACCATGAATTCTACTGCAGATCCTCCTCGCAGAGAAGGTAGATTGAAGTGGCCTGAAACCATAAGTCTGGGGGATTCTATACTCCCCCCTGCAGAAATGAAGTCAGTTTGCTCAGGCCGGGAAATTGCTATACAGCAGAGAGATTGGTGAATCCCAATTGATCCCTAGAGCCCAATTTGAAATGAACAGGGTTTCACATCCGGTGACCTCTGATACAGCACCCTTTAAAGCTGTAAGATTCCCAGATGATAATCACCACAGCCCCATCCCTACCTGAGATCTTTGGCTAATGCCAAACCCAAAACCCAGCTTGCCCACCTTTTGGAACTTACAGTACAAGCTAGGTTGGCCCTCTTATCAATGATTAAATCACTATGTGGGACTTCTTACAAACTGACCTGGCATTTAAAAGCAACAGCCAAAAACCAGGGCCACTGAAGGGCTGCTGATAAGGGCTTCAGACCATGAAATGAGCTGGAATGTAAAACTGGTATAAGGCAACTGTCTTGCATTCCCTGAGAGCAGCCCACTTCTTGTCTCCCTCTGTCTTTCACATTCATAATTCTATTGCCCACTTACACACACACACCAAAAGGCAATACAATCATATATTACAAAACCATTGTAACAATTTTGGAACATTAATGCAACATATCCTAATGCTAATACAGAAGGTATTGCGGTTCCCATATACCTAGCGTGAATTGCTTTTTGTACCTGTGACGCCGTTTCTTTCTCTTGATCTGAGAGTCAGATGCCTTCAGGTTGTTCTTGTCCCCTGATAAACTCTCTTCATCTGTTGAACATATTGATGGATAGCAGGGGAGAAGAAGGGAGAGGGAAGAAGAGATGTATCAATCTTTTTTCACTATAAGCATTGGTCCATACAATACAGTAGGATTGCTTTATATATTTTTGCTTTCCTTCTATAGTTCTACTTTTAAAATAATTCTTAGTTTTCCTTTGTCTTAGAAAATTGGATCAGGATTAAAATTAAATTGTAATTTAAAAAAATTAGAGTTTTTAAAGAATCTACAGTAAGACAATTCAACAGTAAAACCAGAAAAAAAAAACCACAAACATACTAATAATTTCTTCACCAATTCCTGATATGCCAATAATCAAGAAACAAAGTTCATCTTGGACAGCAACCAGGATTGACAAGTAGCCTGCACTGATTAAAACTACTCTTCCTATTATTAGGAATATAGATGAGCCATGTCTATGCTTAGGAAAAAGAAATGAGTAGGGCCATGTATTTCAAACCCCATAACTTTAAGATGTATGGACTTCAACTTCCCAACTTTCCAAGCCAGCATGTAGGGAGTAAGGGGTACTGACAAAAACTCTGGCTGTTCAATATCAGGAAAACAGCTAGAATAAATGAGCCAATTTCTGCAAAGCTAGCAGAGGAGCAGAATTGGAGGCAATTTCCAAGCACAGCAAGGATATCATCTTTTGCTTTTCTACATTAATGAAAGAATGAAGATATTCAAAATCAGAAATGATATGAAAATGATCACTCGCTTTAATGCAACCATTTCAAACCACATAAATTCCCTCTAATCCATAACTGGTTTCTCTTCAAGATCTGCTTACTGGTTTTACCAAACCAAAGAAAAGGATCTATCTCTAATGCAATATTTTCAAAACTCCCTAGTATCTTAGTACTATTTTTTCTTCACATGTACACCCTTTAATTTTTCTGTGATATCCTAATTTTTTCAGTGGTGAGTTCCATAACAGTGGAATTTGAATTTGTTTGAATTTTTTCCTAAATCTGGCATACCACTCTTCCAGTCCTCCAGAAGAATCAACATATCTATTGTAAATGTATGACAAGGAACATGGGAAGAGAGAATGCATGAGGCAAAAAATATATAATTTTCAAATTCTAGTGTAAATATTTAATATCTAAAAGACAGTACACAGCAGAAAATAGAAGTCAACGTAGTTTAATCCATTGTCCCCTGTAGGAATGCTCCTATCTTATTCATCTCATTCTCTTAAATTGAATATTTTTATACCTCTCCATATCCAAAAGTCTTTCATAAAAACAGTCTCCTTAGAATTGCCCTTTGAAGAACTTGTGTAAATATATTCACGCCACCCATATGGAAAAAAATGTATGTATGTGTATGCATGTGTATGTATGCATGTATGTATGTATGTGTGTGTGTGTGTGTATGTGTGTGTGTGTATATATATATATATCTTACATGTAAATATCTTGCTGTTCAGAAAATTATAGTGTGGGAGATCAAAGCTAAATAGATTGAGGAAGAGATAAGGGTATCAATGGCTAATGAATATAACAGCTGTACCTTACTCTCAATATCAGAGAAAGTATTTAAAATTAGGGTAATAACTTTGGTGGTACAGAAATCTGGAGCACAAATGTAGAGCACAAATCAAACAAATAATAATAAACTGTTTCTGACCACCAGCTGCTGGGAAACAATAGCAGGAAGAAGTCACCGGGTTTATGTCCTGCTTGTCGACTTTCCATGGATATTTATGGAATACTGGGTTATTTAGATCTTTGATCTACCTTATGTTCTACAGATTGGCTCTTTATATGAGTCAGGCAGTTCTTTATTCAAATTGATCTAATTTTCACTACTAAGCCCTGAACTTTGTGAGGTAGAAAGAGAGAGGGAATAGAGTTTTTGAATATGTAGTTTTTCACTATCCAAATCCTAATCATCTCCTTGGGTATTTTTATTGTCAGCAATTGACTTCCTTATCAAAAGGCACTGGAAATGGAAATGAATTCTAGATTATATATAGAGTTGATCACTTACAGACATGTGAGATCATATGAAGTGGATTAAGAATGGTAGTGCAGAGATTGGTGGAATAATCATTAATTTCTCAATACACACTCATATGCACTGAAGTTCAAGTTTAAAATATTCTAGAAACTTGGCCTGTAAACTATGTGCATGTTGTCCTGACTGAGTACACAGATCCAATTGAATTCAATGGATATTGCTTACAAACTGACCAAACAGGATTGCTTTATTAATTTCAGAATGGTAGGGGTTGACTATTGTTACTTAAAAGCAAAGGAAGTTCCATTCTCCTTGCCTCAGACTATTTATCATCTTTATTGCCTTTAAGTCCTTCATACTTCAGAAGAAGAATATCTCTATGTTTTTAGATAGCACCAATGGGGGGAAAAGATATTTTCGAGCAGCATTTATTAGATACAAGAAGCACCACCTTGTAATCCTTGTTCAAACTACCAAGCTCATCATCCGGCTATGATGAAGGCTATATTTCTTGGTCTAAAATACGGGACAGGAATTATAAATTTAAAATTCTTCTCTTAGGTACTTTCCCCACTTACAGTTTACCATGATATAATCATACTCAGACAACACATTAACCTTGTCTCCAGCTATGAGTGAAACAGATTTAAATTGTCACTTGATGTACCCATCTGCAATCTCTATTTTTCTCCAAACACTATACCAGCACAGCTTCAGTGTGTGTTTGAGATGAACTGACTTCTCGTAGGTGTAACAAAATGTGTACTTGGGAAATACTAAAAAGTATGGTCATTATCTTTCCTCTTTTGGGTAGCTATTTTTTTCTGGGCCTTTTTTCCTCCTCTATTATGTTTGTTTACTGCTATGTTTATTTACTGAAATCTTTTTATACTGAATACTATCTTTTATTCCATATTTTTATATGGCTCAATTTTGTCTCAGACTAGAGAACTCTTTTATTTGGGGAAGAACAGGGGTGTTTTTAAGCACTCTGTTTTAACAGTATTCTGAAATACTATTTTATGATGCAGCAAACCCACTTTTCTACATTTCAGTGTCCTCAAAATAATGAATGTTGCACTGAATTTTCGTTGTTTGCCAGTTTCCCTATATTTGTCGGTTTCAATCTCTTTCCCTCTTCCCATGAAGTGATGGAATTGCTTATTCAGCAGCTTGTCAATTTTTGTTATCCGCTCGACCAGACCTAGCTAGTTGCAAAACAGGACAAGGTCTGTCTTCCTCCTCCTTGGGTAATTTTTGCTCTGTTGTCTTCCCATATGTTTCTTCATTTTGCATTATTTTCAGCTGGAAAATGCCCTAAGGGGGTATGGAAAGAAAGGCAAACAAACCGGCCTAGAGAAGTTGATGCAGAGTTTTGAAATCAGACCCCTCCAATCTTGCAGCAGTAATCTGATTTTTCCCGTTTAGTGTTGTAAGGTGAAAATTGATCACTTTGCCTGACACATCATATCATCTTGCTTGGCACTCAGTGACACATTTTTTGCATATTATCACAGGATAATAATCAACAAAAGCAAGACAGGAATGAGCAAGGGAGGTGGCAAATTTTACTCCAGCATCACTATAAAATACGGTAGACGTCAGGTTACGGTGACAGTTGGGACTGGAATTTAATGCAGTCATAAAGCATGGTGTTATATGACTGCACCACTGAATAGCAGCAATTCCAGCAGTCCCAGGTGTCTTTGTATCCCCAAAACTGGGTTGTTAAGCAGGAAGAAGTAGGAATCCCATGCAAGCAGGTTGGTGGGTGAAAGTTACGGGTTAGCACTAGCAACAGGGAGGCAAGTGCTGCGGGTAGATGCAAGTGAGCCTGTGCAGGTGCCATAAACAGGTGTGCTATGGTCAGGCACTAGGGAGCAAAGGAGAGTATTGCAGGTAAAGAAAGGGGTGCAGCAGACAGGCATTCGGGGGTCAACAGTCATAAATTTGGGCTGGCCCAAATTCTGATCCCATGATTATGGGTGTGCTGTGATGGCTAGTACTTTGAGGATTGTAAGTCCATGTTTCAGCCCCATTATATAACTTTGAACATCACTTAATGAATGGACATAATTAAATAACTACCTATTCTCTCTTCCCACCTCCCCCATTCTGACATAGTCCTAGGATAACATCAAAAAATCTGTTGGGTTTTGTCACTTTAGTGGTGAGTGAGGTATTTGGTGGTGACAGAAAACAAAGGCAATAGAGGAAGGGATTTGGTTTGCTAATGGCAGATATAGTTTTTTTCTGATTCAAGAATAGGTCGATAAAATTTTATCAGTGGGGAAAGGTGCAAGACAGAAGGGCAGAGTTCAGAGAAGCTAGCCACACTTTCATGAGCAAGTATTCTTAACAGGCCTACAATCCACAGGAATCTGTGCCACTATCTCAGATATGCAGCAAGGACCAAGCAGGTTGCATTTCATAATTCATACTGCTTTTAAAGGCACACATTGTTTAGGCATGTAAAAATAACCCCTTTTACATGCCAGATATCTCCATTTATTGTGGAATTTGTGGATTAAGTTTTCATGTGCATTAAATACTGAAAAGGGTTGTGTGTTTTTTTGCAGAAGTAGCAGTAACTGACTCCATGTAAAATGTCTGGCAGATGTACACTATTCTTCCTGAGAATATCCATGTTTGTTTGTCAGAGCCACTGTCTCCCTCCCTCCCTCCCTGTGTGTGTGTCTGTGTGTGTGTGTGTGTGTTTGCCTCATGCATACATGTGCTTGCCATAGATTTCTTTGGGCTTTATGGTTTCATAAAATAGGGTTTCTAAATGTAATTTTGGATTCAAGTGATGAGGTATCCAAATTCACACCTTGCCTTGTAGCACTTTAAAAACGATTGAGGCACGTGGTGCCTTCCGGCAGGACAGACCCCTTCATCAGATACCAGGGAAACCGGCCCCAGGCTGTCAACCATTAAGCTTACTAGAGGCTGGAAATAAAGAACAGCAGATCCTTAGGGCGGGATTGGACCCCGCGAGGTTTTCTCTTCTCAACCCAAGGTGTGAGGCGGAGAAACCGCTCCTCTCCAGCTACTGTGAAACCTCGGTCCCCAACAGGTCCCTCCGAAGGTCCTGGCCCCAGCTGACAGAGGGGCGGGGGGGGGCGCCTAGTTGGGGAATCAGGGCTCCAAAGTTGCTCGGCAAGTCGCTTTCTCCGCCAGCGTGAGAACGCAAGTCAGGGGCGGAATGGCTTACCGGAGACGGTCAACTTGGGCTTCTCGGCTTCCGGGACGTAGCGAGGGTGCTGGTGCTGGTGCTCCGAGCGAGGCTGGAGGAAGGGGAGGTGCGCCGGCAGGAGACGAGGCGCCCCCGCGGGCTGCTGGGTGGCAAAGCCGCAGAGGAAGCCCAAGCCCAGCGGCAAGGGAGCGCCTCCTCCGCCGCCTCCTCGCCCCGCGGCTGGCCCGCTGCCGTCGCAGCTCGAGCTGGCCGGCGGCTGCAGCTCCGCCTCCAAGCCCAGGAGGTCGGTGATGGCGAAGCCCTTGGAGCGCAATCCGCCGGCCCCGGCCGGGCCCCCCAAGCGCGCCTTTTCGTGGCCACAGGCGCTGCTGGGCGCCAGCGCGTTTCCCTTGGCTTTGCCCTCCGAGAGCTCCTCGCGGCCCGTCATGCTGCCGCCGCCGCCGCCGTTGGTTGGGAAGGGAGAATAGGCTCTCGGGCCGGAGCTTTATATCCCGCGCTCATCGGCGCCTGGATCCAATCACAGGGGAAATGTGGGGAGCGACGGCAAGGGGGGAGGCGCGGAGCAGCAACTGGTTCCCAATCCCGGATAATTAATTGCCACCTATTTGCCCGCAATCCGATCACCCTTTTCTCCCCTCCCCTCTTGCTGCCAGGACAGATTTCACTCCGCGTCGGAGCCGCGCTGAGCAAGGGCCCTCTGGGCTTTCATTGGGGAGGCGGGGGGGGGGGCGCTCGGCTTCTTCTCCCTCCCTTCAGCGTTGTGGGAAGGCGGGCAGAGCTCCCAGCCGTCCACAAAGCGGAGAACTGCAGGGGCTATCAATGCCAATGGTTACCCCCGCGACACTGGCCTCTTAGCAGCCCTGGATAGATTCCCCTGGCTGAATAGATTTTCCTTTCTGGATCCTTCCTACATAAACAAGAGCACATTTCTGCACCGGAAAAGTAGAAAAAAGTTTTGGGCTTCCGCAGAAGGATTGCCATGTTCTCTCACAGCTTTCTTATTTTTGTTTTTAAGCCACTTTGGCTTCTTCAAAGTGAATTCAGTGACCCGAGAGTGATAGTTGTGCCCAACATATTTGGGGAACCTCTCGTGTTGAGGTGGTTTTACACAGGACATCCCAAGGCATCATAAGGCTCTGAGATTGATAAAGGTTACTCCATCGAATCAACGCTAAATGGCTTCCTGAAAGAAAACCTATCCAATTGTCTTAATCTGGGTCTCCCCCCACACCCGATATTTTGGACTGCAGCTTCCCTCATCCCTTGACCACTACTACACTGTCTGGCATTGAAGGAAAATAATAATCCAAACTAGTTTTGAGGAAGACCATCCTAGCATTGTTTTAGGCTAAACACTGGGGATTGGGATAAATATCTGGATGCATTTGTACAATATATGAACGTAAAACCAAACCAAGTGTGTTATGGATATGTTTCTACAACATACCTGGTTTGGCCAGTTTGGTCCACTGTACTGAGTGAATCCAGAAATGTGTGAAATTTAGCAACAGTAGGCAGCAGCATACACGGGAGGTGTCAAAATGCCAGGTAGATGAGACCCCATGATCAAACTCTGATCCTTTTAAAGGCTCTCACAGACATTTCAAAGGGTTGAGATTTCACATGGGCACTCCTGCCATCTTACTTCTTATTTATTCCTTTTCAAAATACACTAACAAGAAGGAAAACATTCTAACCCAAAGTACTTTGTATGTTAGTCAAAGCATTTTTCCTTTATCAGAATTTGTAGTATGAAACATATAATTAGTCATCCAATGAAATGAAATAGATACAGAATATCTGAATATGCAAGATAGGGTGTTACTAAAGTCATATTGAAATGGTGGTTGTTATTCCTTGTACACCATTTAGAGTCAATATAGGCTTGGTAACTGTTCAATTCACTTCCCAAACTCTGATTGTTGTAGCACTATACCTACTGCTATTTGTTCAATTATTGGGCGAGAGGAATAGATATCCTGGTTCCTTGTCACAGCCCCTTGCTTCTGTCACAAGAATTCATAAGGTATCAGTCAGAAACAAAGGAACTGAAAGAGGATGCCAAAATAGTGATTCTAGATCCCCCGAGCATGACCATTCACTGTTAACTCTAACTGTAGAGAGCTAAGATTCATCTGCAAATTGTATCTATCCAAGTCAGCAAGGCAAAAAATAGACAATTCAGAAAGTCATCCCAAACAGATTGTTTCATACTAAGCAAAAAATCAGGGCAAGACTTGGCAGTGATAGCCCATGCAGCAGACTGGGAGGGGAAAGAGAGAGGCCTTGGATGTGGGAACGGCTAAGCAGGTTCTTCAGGACCTTGGACAGTTCCATGAAAAAGACAGCATGTCTCAGTCTGGTTCTTTGCCCTGCTGTATGTAGCCCAACCTATGTCCTTTCCCACTTTGCTAGAAAATTAGAGGTCTTTCAATAGACAGCAGTTTAAATGGACCACCAGGAGTCATGTATTTTGTCATCTCTTTCCTACCATGCCCACCTATAGTGGTGAGTGTGGCCAGATTTACAGCAAAAATGCTCTATTCAGTGTAGAAGACGCACCTAGATTTTCACCCTTTTTTAAGGGAAAAAGGTACGCCTTATACTCCAAAATATGGTAAATAAATAATAAATACATTCGGATTGCCAAGCGCCCTGTCAACCCTGAAGCTGATCTGGCCAAAGCCATATTGGAGCTCCATGTGGTTTAATTAAGGAACTGCAAGACTTCAGAGTCCCATTCTTTTCCTAAGGGGCTGTGGATGGCTCTGTTTCTAATGGGCACCCCTACACTTCCTTTTAACACATCACACAAACTTCTCTGTTTAATAGAACTTTCACATTATCCATTCCTTTCCCTTTTACTTCGATGGAATGATCATACTTATTTTGTTTTGGGAAGATTTAAAAATATATAATTAATAGAATACTACATTCAGTCAATCATCAGTTAAAGAATGGCATCTATGAAAACCTGGAGCCGAATCCCTGGAATTTTCAGTGAGGCATAGATTACTAGAAAAATGACATACATCTATCAAAAGCTATTTGCAATATTCAAGCTGTTCAGTTTGCCCTACTTTCCCTTTTATTTCTTTTTTTCTCTTCTCCTTTTCTTTTCTTCTATGATGAATAACATTTATGTGTAAAATTATTCTTGTCTTCAGGTAATTACAAATTATTTATGTCATTCTAGTACATAGAGTTAAATACTGTAAAAAACCTCTTAATTCTTATTGGTAAAAGGCTTGGGGACATGGAAAAGCTAAAGCACAGAAGGAAAATATTTTTGTCTTCATACATCAATCTCCAAAATGAGAAATAATCTATGGTATTATTTGCCATCCCCTACATTCTTCACAGTCAATGAACATGGAATTAGTTTTCTAGTAAGCAGTCTTGTTTAATTGATTATCAATCATTTCACTATATTCCACAAGGATCCAGTACAGAGGAAGCAACTTGCTTACTGTAGCTGGTCTGTTTGTTCTCCTTTTCTTTTCCTGTAGTACTACCTGTGTTATTTACACAAGTAACCTATATTCAACTTTCTTCCTGTCTCAAAATTAAATGTAAAAATTACATTACCTTAGATATACATTAATTCTCTCCTTGTTATCTGCATGAAAGACAGAAATCTCAAGTACAAGTGGAACACACCAGACCAAAAGGATCGTTTATTTTTTACAAGCAGAACATCCTCGTTCCCCATGGAGCAGCTTTTGCTTTGGGCTGTCTAAAGAAATGAACTTGCCAGCTCTTCAGTTCATCTTGGAGACATGTTTATATCAGTTCTGAAGCTGCAATTCCCTGTCAAAGTTATTCTTAGCCCTCCTGGAATCCATTAATACTAAAATCTGGTGGAACTCAAGTTGTCTTATCACACAAAGGGAAATGAAAAAGGGTTTTCTGTGTTGAACCTCTGGACATGAGTTAATAAACTCACAAGGTAGGGGAATCTAGTTATTTATCTACTTCCATTTTTTGCACCTGGATTGCATTTAACTGCTTCACCTTTTTATGTAAACAATTGACAAACAAACATCAAGTGTTCTAAATCAGATCACTTTTTGATTTGGTCCTTTTCTGCTAAACATGCAGATTAACCAGGGTTTTCTGACAAAGATAATTACAAGAGCACTGTGTATTAACTTTACATTATTAAAGAAAGACTCAAATCTCCCCTTGCAAGCTGTTCCTGGGATTAGCAGAACAATAACTTTCATTTAAGATAATTGTGATGTGAAAGGCTTGGGTTTTATGGTTTTGCTTTTGACTATTACTCTTTGGTCATTATTATTCTTTGTTTATATAGAGAAGCTGGAATCTTGTTTTGAATTAGTCAGGTGTGAAGAATTGAAAAAAGCAAAAAGAGACTTAGTAGCTTTTATACAGGCTCATTAATGACAATACTATATTAGGGCTCCTAGTATTGTTCCCAGCAGCTCTGCTTACCCCAATTGGGTAAAAGGAAAAAGCTGCAGAATTTTAAGAAGTCACATTAAAGAACTAACAGGTGGCAATAAAATAATACATTAGATGAAATGAAAGGATGGGTAAAAAGAATAACACACTCCATATTCTATCATCTCAAAACACATTTTAAAAAGATGTCTATGAAGGAAATGTATTGATTTATATTTTATATAAGCAGCCCTCCAATTAAAAGATATTTGATATTCCTTTGTTTACTTACCTTTACATATAATTGTCTATTAATACAATTTCTGTGTTGAATTGATATACTACTGTAAGTTGAAAATTTAGGACAGTAGTAACTTTTTTAGAAAGAAATATTAACAGTCTTCAGTCTATTCTTCTAGCTATATTACCTGATACTCAGAATTGGCTTCAAATACGTGCCTTCACCATCCAGATAGTCTTCCTAAATCAATTGAAATTATGCAAATTGGAAATGAGGTGAGGGCAACCTAAAAGAAAGAATAGTATTAAAATGGTAACCAGAATGTCTGATATATATAGTACAAGAGAATATCATTTTTGGGTGAGTTGGTTGCTTTGTTTTTTAAAAAGCACCTTAAAATATCACTTTTGTGTATGGGGTTAATATTGATAAATTAAAGCTTCATACAGTAAGTATATGTGTTTGCAAATATTCTAGGCTATTCTTGACATGATAATTCTTTAACCAGGGTTGAAGTTATCAAGTAAATGTTTCCAACCCCCCCCCCCCAAGACCTCACTGAACAACCTAAAAGAAAACCCTTTTCCTTTTTTCCAAAATATTCTGCAGACATTAAAAAAGACAGCTCTCTGGTGAGCTCTTAGTCCTTAGAGAAAGAGCTGTACACTTAGTTTCCCATCCATCTGACTCTGCTACTTCCACAAAATCTTCCCCAATGTGGATCGGACCCTCCAGAGTTGGGCTTCCCATAATTCTAAAAAATGATGGTTGAATATTGTAAG